CCAAAGAGTGAGTGAATCCTATCTGTAGACCTAATAAGCTCCACACATCCTCATCATGCAGAAATGGGACCACATTGTGTAGAAAAGAGAGAATATGCAAGCAGAGGAAGTAATTGTAAAAATGGAGGCAAGAAGAGAGAAGAGACATTTTACCGAAAGGCTAGGTTCAAATTAAGAAGAAAACAAGATGACAATTTGTACACTGGGTTGACTTTTTAAATGACAAGTATAAAAAAATGTGTGAATATATGTTTTGTAGGTACATGTAAATATACTGGTGTGTGTTTGAGAGACTTAAAAAGATTTCCATAAGGATATGATAAACATGAACACTCCAAAATGATCAGAACACAAATGCCTTGCTCAGAACGTATGTCTTCTCATTTCCCCCAACATTCCTCAAGTTAATAGCTTGCAAGAACTTGTCCTTGGCCCAACAGACAGCTCGTCCCCCCCCCCCAAATAGCTGATATTTAAATAGTGGTGATCATGAGGTAGCCAAGCAAACATTCCAAAACCAAGTCATTTGTAATATCTTTAAATGCAAATATATTTAAGGGATTTTTTTCTTGGCAAAGATGTTTGCTCAAATTTCTAATACTTAGGCAGGAATTGGCCAAGAACACTCCTCAGGGTTAATAGACTATAGCCATAGTTCTCGCTAATCTACCAAAAGTCTCAGGTGAAGAGTGTTTGGCAGTTATCAGATGAGCTAGACCAAGGTCTCCAGGCCCAAGGGCTGTGGAAATTGTTTGGTCTAGGTACTAGACTGAATGTTCAACTGTCCTTACACAGTGGTCAGAGGAACAGCACCATGATATATATCATCACTCCATTAAACAGTGTTTATTTATATATTATTTAGATGAAAGATGACCCCTGGAAGAGGTTTTAGTTCTAAGACCAAAGGGTATCTTAGTTCAATAGTCTTGAGGGTCTCTACCAGCCCAGTAAGTCTGATCTTTTTTAGGCATTTGAATTTTTTTTCCTACACATTTCTATCTCTTTAGGATTTTTTATGTTGTCCTGGCCAGAACTGTCAGTAATGATAGCTGGGCACTCTCTAGTTCTGTCCTCAGGATGGAGGAAGGTGTGATTCATATCAGTATTTAGTCTTTTGTGCTAGTTTCTTCTTCAGACCTTTAGTTTCTTTCATTCTTTTGTGTCAGATTAGCAGAGACCAAGACCTTAGATGCGATTCTCTAAACTAGGATGCATAACACTGCCTTTATGAACTACCTTGTACCAATTATCCCACAAGACTGTGGCTGCAAGCCTTCAAATACAGTAAACCTATCCCACAAGATGTTTGTTTGTGTCTTGGTAGTATCCCTAATGGGGACTCCTGTGAGATCCATTAATTACGAATATATATGCAAGGCATATAAATATATAGATATATGTACACAGATGCCTACAGATGTACATGTGCTCGCATGTACCTTCTGGTACATCTCAACAACCCATTGCCATTAAATAATGAAAGTCAACCCAGAGCTAACCCCAGGTGGGTCTTCAGAGACTGTAAATAGCATGAAAGGAAATTGCCCATCTTTTTCCCTCAAAGAGGTTGGTGGGTTTGAACCATCTGCCTTTTGGTTATAGTGTTTTGAATTCTTTTTTTTTTAATTTAGTTTGTTTATTTTTCATTTCAATGAACATCTACAGAGATTTTGGAATTCCATTCATTCATTGTTGCACCCTTCTCCCCGCACAAACCCCTCCCCCTGCCCGTGAATTCTTAATTATCTTGTCTTGCTGTTGCAATGTGCTGTTGAGTCAGAACCAACTCAGAGCTGACCCTCCAGCAGGTTTTCAGAGGGCGTAAAATGCATGGAAGGAGACTACCCATCTTTCTTCTATGGAGCACTTGGTAGATTAAAACTGAGTGCCTTCAGGATTGCAGTACACCTTCTTAACACAAGGCCACCAGAGCTTTTTATTTTGTATGTGAAATCTAATGGGACAATTGAGAATAAACTGTCAGCTTGGACTCTCCAAATACAGTCCTACCTCTCACAATCTCTATGGGATGGGTTCTGCACTCCCCACTCGCCACTCCACTGTCCTCTGGGCCCTACACTGATTTCATTCCCCATGTCTGCCCACCAACCACTGCCTCAGACTCTATCCATAGTCTCCCTCCTCCACCTTCACTCATTTGCTGGGCACAGACACAGGGGAGCAGAGGGGGAGTGCACAGTCTTCAAAGCGTTATGGGCTAGGGCATGACCATGTGGTATTTTGGGATGAAGAACGTGCCCGCAGCACTTTCAGAGGATGATTCGGGGAGGGAATCAACTAAGCCTCTCATCTGACTTCAATTAAGACAACAAGTATATCCTGATAGGGAAGTGGAAATCCCCTGGGAGGTACCTCCTGTACCCATTGGTTGGTGTTATGGACCAATGGGAAGGGAAGATTGATCTTTCCTTGCTCAGGCACTGTGTATGTGTATGTATGTGTGAGTGAGAGTGAGTGTGTGTTGGCAGGAGTTTTCAGGCCTAACAGAGCTCTGCCTGGAATGAGCAATTATTTATTGGGGTGTTGTTTGTTTTTTTAAAATCTTTTACATTGCTTTGCATACAAAATTCGTTTACATTGTTTTTCACACTTTCCTTTATTCACATTGTGTTTCATACAGTCATGGAATGAACAATTTTTTAAACAGAAATACTGCCTATGCTTAGGAATTCTGAGTCAGTAGATATACTTCTCAAACTTAATTATGTGTGAGACTAAATGGGGAAATTTTCATTTCCTCAGTGCCACCTATTACAAATTCTGATTTCATTAAACATGGTCAAGCCCCAGAATCTGTATTTTACAACCATACTAGATGGTTATAAAACTGCCACAGGTGAACAGACCAATACTAGGTGGTAAAATACTAGGTAGGTAGGAGCAGTTATTCTGGGATCAGGCTAAGCTGAGTTTGCAAGCTCTGGTGGCCTAGTGGTAAGAAACAGTGCTGTAGTCCCAAAGGCGCACAGTTCGAGGCCACCAGCTGCTCTGCAGGAAAAATATGAGCAATCTTCTCCCATGTGATTAACTGCCTCTCGAAACCCACCAGAGGGTCAGCTATGGGTTGGTTCCAACTCTTTGGTACTCAACAACTACAGCTTCATCCTTGTAGAAATTATTTTCTCTCTCTAAACTGCAGTCCACTAATATATCAAAAGCACCTATTAGTGCCACTTTATATGACATTATGAATAGTAGCTTTTTAATAATTAATAAGAAATGTTTTACACTATAATAAATTATATGCATTTATTCTTCACAAAATTAAAAAATTTCAGAAGATTGATTGTTGGTTCTCTGAGGTGGACACGCAGATATGTATGCGTTTTATTCTATGCGTTTGCATCTATTTTGAGTCTGTTCTGTAGGCAAAGCAACAGGTAGAGTGAAAAAGGGAGCTTGAATATGAAGGGAATCAGAAGCTTGAAATGAGCCAACCTCAGCCTGAGGCGAGGTTTTCAGTGTCGAGAACATAGTAGGTGTTCTGTAAATTGAAATCAGGACAAAATGAACCTTCAACGAACTTATCCGTGAAGATTCTCTGACACACACTTAAAGAGCTTGACAATTCCTTTTTCCTTGCAGGGTTCCTGCCCAGGGCGTCAGTTCACAGAGAGCAAGCCAACACTCTCACGGCTCTTACCAAATGTTGAGTGTGCCCTCTAGCGTTCACATTTCTCAACTTCCTTCTCAAAGAGATGAATCAAAGAAAAGTCCTTGCCTACAGAAGTGAAATTCTCCAGGGTTAGCAGCCCATCACATAACAACAGATCTGAACCTTGCCCTTTCCCTCACCATCTCTGATACATGCTTGAGACACTCTGAACCCATCTTGTTGAGGGTCTTCCTCTCTTTCTGTGACCTCCACATTTCCCAGCATGATGTCTTTTTTCCAAGGACTGGCTCCTCCTGGCAAGACGACCGAAGTTTGTGAGATGAAATTGCACCACCCTTGACTCCAAGGAGCACCCTGGTTGCATAGTCAGTGTTCATGCAAATGACTGTACAGAGAAAAAACTGGATTGGCTTCATATCTAATAATTCCCAGGCTCAACATAGTACCCAAATACCTTTAGCCATTTGGCCCAAGGACGAAGCACAACTAAACTGGACCTTTAGGACAAAAGCCACTCAAGGAAATGCACATATAGGTAGGGGGAATTGGGAGGAGTGCGTGGGGCTCAGCAATCCTCCCTGCCTGGATGGCCATTCTAGATCCCACTTTATAACGTTCCAGTGTGGAAGGAGCTTGAAGAGACCTCCCAGAGAAAGAAGTAGTGCTTGCGTCAAACTGTTTAACGTGCTGGACTGCGAACTGAAAGGGTAGGGATTCCAGTCTACCTCTGGGTCCACCTGATCCACCAGGAGTCCCCACTAAAGAATCAGTACGGAAAAAAACCCTATGTAACACAGGTCTACTGGGACACGCACGGGTTGCCTTGACTCAAGATCAACTCTGGGGCAACCAGTTGAGTTAGTGTGTCTTGGCTTTTGTCTTATAAGTGACAAGTAGCAAGATGATTTTCTCATGCAGGGACAGCAAACTCGGTCATTACTTTGACCTCGAGAAGTCCCATCAGTGTGTTTTGTAAATGCCTCTCAAATGCCCACCCAGAGAATATTTGACTCCCCTGGAAAAGGAATGTAAGGCCCTCATCACCAAAGAAAGACAGAGCCTTCTGTTCACTGGACTCCCCAGCTGGACTCCCGCCGCTCCCAAGGAGCTGGACCTCCCCAGCTCTCAGCTAGCAAGGCCCTCCCTCCTCTGGCTCTCATCCAGCACGTTCCCTTCCAGGCAGTTACAGAAATGGCTTTTCTGATTGTGCTCCAGAAACCCTCATTCATTTGCAAACCCGACACTTTCCAGAAAACACTCCCTTTCTGCCAGCACCTAGAAGCCTTTAAACAGCACACTCGTTTGCGTTGGTCCGGAGCAACTTTGTTACACAGTAAGGTTCTTGATTCTGTTTCCTCAGGTCGTTTTGCATGGGAAAATCGAGGCATTCTGTGGAGGCTCCATCATTAATGAAAAATGGGTCGTAACTGCAGCCCACTGTATCGAACCTGGGGATCAGATCACGGTCGTCGCAGGTAAACAAGTGAAAAATAAATAGCACTAACTTGCAGGATCTATTATGCCATTGCTGCATCCTATTTCATGCAAATCTTGTAGGATAGGATCACTAAAGGAGCTCTGGGGGCACTGTGGTTAAGACTGTCTAGCAAAGTAGACTGGTGGAGGGGTGGCAAGATGAGACTCTGTTTTCATAAAGATTAAAGAACTCAGAAGCTTAGAAATGGCTCTACTCTGTCCCGCAGGGTCTCCATACATCAGAATCTACCTGACAGCAGTAGATTTTAGTAAGATCAATACTTAATGAGCCAGGTTCTTGGTAGAGGGGTCATATTTTCAGAAACTGGCTTGCTCCATCCCACAAGCCCCCATACTGCTCTTTGTGAGCCTTTGCTAACATCCATCTGAGCGGGATACACTCATTTACAGCTATATCCGTTTCTCCACCAGGCTGAGCCCTCCTGAAAATGGGACATGTCATTGGTCTTTGTATGTCTGGATCCTGGCACAGCCTTTATTCAGGTCTTCAGCCAGCATTTGAAAGAATGACCAAATGGACTGACTTACAGAGCAGGAGTGTGACCACTTAAAATTGAGAGTCTAATTCACAAGGACTAGGTTCATTCTTGCCTTTGCCCAATGGAAAGCTAAGAGAAGCCTAGACAAATGGAGCCAATGCCCTACTTCAGATCCTCGATTATGGCTTAGCTTGAAACCTGCTTACTAGCCCTGATGATCTGTTACCCAAACCATCACGATGTAAAATTCACACACTTAAAAGAGCCAGTTAAGGCAGTGAAAGCTAGTAGGTCCTTAGGAAATTGGCAGCGTTATTGAAAAGATTGTGAGTGAAGAAAGTTCGGTTGATTTTCTCCCCCCCCCCCAACTAGGTGAACATAACATTGAGGAAAAGGAGCACACTGAGCAAACGCGAAAAGTGATCCGCACGATTCCCCACTTCCACTACAATGCGAGCGTTAACAGGTACAGCCACGACATCGCCCTCCTGGAACTGGACCAGCCCTTAGTCCTGAACAGCTACGTGACACCGATTTGCGTGGCCAACAGGGAATATACCAACACTTTCCTCAAACTCGGATCTGGCTATGTGAGTGGTTGGGGGAAAATCTTCAACAGAGGGAGATCAGCTTCAATTCTTCAGTACCTCAAAGTTCCTCTTATTGACCGAGCCACCTGCCTTCGGTCCACGAGAGTCACCATCCTGAATAACATGTTCTGTGCTGGCTATCATGAGGGAGGTAAAGATTCTTGCCAAGGGGACAGTGGGGGACCCCATGTTACTGAGGTGGAAGGGACGAGTTTCTTAACTGGAATTATTAGCTGGGGGGAAGAATGTGCAATGAAAGGTAAATATGGAATCTACACCAAGGTATCCAGATATGTCAACTGGATTAAAGAAAAAACAAAGCTCACTTAGGGTAGCACGTATTTCCAAGACTGGCTTCTTATGTGGAATTGAAAATGCACAGTCTCTCATTCATCCTCTCCCCACCGCTTCTTAGATTTAGATGCAAGCGTTTTAAGAGTACTCTTTTTCTTGTAATGAGAACATTTGGTCTAGAACACACATTTAACTAGAGTAAATAGCTCAGAAAGTATGATCACTACAGAAACAGTGGTAGGAAATCCTGGCCATGTGTATAGGGTCAGCCTTTGTGAGAAGAAGTTCCTCCGCCTGCTCATCAAGCACTATGGTCTTCCACTTGGCTGGATCTCCCTTTCCATGTTCCAGATCTTTCTTGCCTCTTCCACCACCACATCGATATGGATTAGGGATTTGCCTAGGATCCTTGGCTAGTCAATCACGAGGCCAGCACCACATTCATGAAGGAATAATTGTGTGGTAGGTATCATAGCTGGACTCAATGCCCTGAGCACAGGGAACTGTCAACAGGTTCAGACTCATTTGAAACAGCCTTTACCTTTCCAATCTCCCAGTTCCCAAATCAATTTCTCTTTCCCTCCATAGGTTTTAAAGGAGGGAAGGGGTAGACCATACCGTTGTACTGCTGTACACAGTGACACATGTTTATCAAGCTCTCACTTGCTATTGCTTTACCTTCAGACTTGCTTCTTGGAAATAGAGGGATGAAGTACTGGAGTCTCAGGAACTTGAGGGGGAAGTTCCTTTCAAAAAAGCAACATTATTAAAATAGATATAGAGCAGAAGCAATGGTGGACTTAAGAAAGTTCCCTAAGGCCTTGTGATGGGGTAGATGTGGAGGTCTGGTTCCGTGAAGGCAAGACTGCCTTGTAGTCATGACCAAGAAATACACCCAGTTGTAGTGTTCATGTCTGAAAAAATTAATAATAATAACTTGCATCCCAGAACCATCAGAGTCTTCAGGGAAGGGGAGAACAGTGCTCGGTCAGTGAAGAAGTTCCCCAGAGAACATTATTGTTAATTCTCTTTGACAAGTTTATCTCTATAGTCAAGAAGGGTTTCAGTGGCCTGGTTCATTACGCTGAGCCACTTGAGTCCCCTTTTCTGGTTTTGACCACAACTGCTCGCTGCTGTTGAATGGGTGCTGACTCGTAGTGGCCCTCCACCAGGCTTCCCACGCTGCACGTCTTTACAGGAAGAGACTGCCCCCTTTCTCCCTCAGGATTACAATTGGGTCTTCTTTATCACATTTTCTGCTCGAAGAGAATTTTCAGACCAATCAACATACACACTTCAATTCGATCCAGTCACACTTCTCTTGGTGAATTAATAAATTGGTGTTCTAGTCCATAGCTAAGCCTATTTGCTTAATGTGAACCAGTCACTGCCAATTTGATTACACGCAAGACCACTGATAAATTGTGTTCGAAACCACGTTAACCCCACTAAGCGAGTGCTTTCTCCTGGCCCCACCCTACTCCCAACCAAGCCTTACTCCTGCTCATTTGTCAGTATCTTTCTTCCTTCGGTCTTTGAATACATTAAAAAAAAATCAATAAATGGACCTTTAACTTGATCAGAAAGTGTTTGTTGTTGAATCATTCACAAATAACTGTTCCGAGTAGCGTACAATATTCAGGGAAGAGCTAAGAAGAGATAAATGTTCTTCTGAGTAGTGTACAATATCCAAGGGAAATCTAATAAGAGAGTATCCAAGTAGAATGAACCAAAGCTAAGATTTGATCCTCAGCTGTCAGTAGGATTTCCTATGCAGCCAGGTGGGCAATGGCTTAGCAAGGACTGAAAATAATGGGATAGATTGGGGTCTGACCAGCTGGGAATTTACACTAGATAATGTAAGCAGTTCCCCAAGTATTTGGGCTTTGAGTTCTCCATTCCTATAGGGAGCTCTGGTGGCCTATTGGTAAGAAGCTGTGCTGCAATCCTGAAGGCACACAGTTTGAACCCACCAGCTGCTCCACGGGAGAAGGATGGGAAATCTCCTCCCGTGAGATTAACTGCCTCTGAAAACCTGCTGGAGGGTCAGCTGTGGGTTGGTTCTGACTCGAGGGTACACAACAACATAGGGTGAGAAGGAACCCTGGTGGTTCAGTGGGTTAAGTACTGGGTTGTAAACTGAAAAGCCAGTTATTCAAACCAACCAGCTCTTCCGCAGGTGTAAGATGTGACAGCCAGATTCTGTAAAAACTTACAGCATTGGAAAGCCCTTAAGGCAGATCTACTCTGCCCTGCAGGGTCACAATGAGTCTGAATCAACTTCACCACAACGAGTAGTGATGGGTATAGTGGGGGGCTCTTTTTAAATTATTGTGATTTGAGTAGAAGTTTACAACACATATTTTTCCATTCAATAATTCATATGTATTTTGCTTTATAACATTAATTACAATACTTGTAATGTCTGATCAACCCTTATTGCCTTTTCCTTCACCCATCTTAATAAGTGTCTGTCACCAATTCATTTTTACCCCCTCCCTGCCTTCCCTTCTCTGGTAAACATCCAAGAACGATGCTATCATAAACCTTTCTTCAGCTTTGGGTAATAGTACTCTTCTGTGACTGACTTATTTCACTCAATGTAATATCTTCTAGTTTCACCCATGTTCTGCAGTGCTTCACAAATGCTATCTCATTCTTTAGTGTTGTATAATACCACATTGTGTGAATATGCCACAGTTTATTTCTCCATTAGGGCCACTGATCTTGTTGCTGTTGTAAACAATGCCGTCAGTAACATGAGTAATAATAAAATAAAAATAAAATAAAATAATTATGAGTCACAGCTCTTATTTCTTTAGGATGCTCTTTTGTTTCTGTATTCCCTGTATAGGGAGCTCAGATGGCCTAGTGGCAAGAAGCTGCACTGCAATTGCAAAGGCATAGGGTTTGAGGCCACCAGCTGCTCTGCGGAAGAAGGATGGGCCATCTTCTCCCATCTGCCTCTGAAAACCTGCGGGAGGGTCAGCTATGGATCGGTCCTCACTCTACGGTACATAACAACAACTCCCTATTTATTCAAGGAGAAAGCACTACATGCAAAAACCTAAATGCCCACTTCTTTAGAGTGGATTTCAACTCGTTGAGAACCTGTCAGACAGAGTAGATGTGCACCACAGAGTTTCCAAGGCTCTAAATCTTTATGACAATTGTTGTTGTGGTGGTGGTGGTGTACCATCAAGTTGGAACTAACCTATAGCCAACCCTTGAACGGGTTTTCACAGACAGTCATCGTACAGGAGGAGATTACCCAGCCTTCTCCTGTTATGAGAGTAGATTTACCATTTTTACCCACATGACAGCTGTTGGATTTGAACCTCTCACCTTTTGGTTAGCACTGTGCTACCAGGAGCTCCTTATTGTATGCCAAATAACAATAAATCTTCATTAAATATGAATCCATGGTTATGTATTTTGTGATGTTAAAGAAAGCAGTATATGGAAATGGCTTTATCAATGCCCACTACATTCCTAGTCCCTGAGTAGGTAACACACTGTGATGCCAATCAGAAGGCTGGCGTCTCCCCAGAGCTGCTTCAGAAGAAAGACCTGGAGACCCACTTCTGAAAATTAGCCATTGAAAATGCTACGGGGCACAGCTGCTCTAGGTCTCTGTGAGATGCAATCTGTGGCAATCGACTTCCACAGTAGTTGCTCAACAAATGTGAATTAAGCGAGTATCTACTTACATACAAACAATGCCAAGAATGTCAGTTTTGTGACCAACCAAAGACATCAGTGCTGCTGCTGTTGGCTGCAGGAGGGGAAGAGAGAGGAGGCACCATCATTGTCTGCCTTTGGTTTAAGGAAGATGTCAACACAGGCATACAACCACTGCTTCACGTTTGAATGAATAAAGGTCTGAAGTCCTTGTGTTCTGCAGATGGTAGAAGTGAGATGCTCTGGCCTTGTTGCCATGGAGACCACCTCTCACAGAGGCGGCAAAGGGGAACAAACCTCATACTTTCTGAGATTGGCCTTCCCTATGACAGATGGAGGAGCTCTTGGGCCACAAATCTCCAAAGCAGTTACTCTACTGCCTCAGAGCTCTCGAATGACTGAATTCTTTTGTGAGCCACATATGGCCTGTTGCCAGCATGAAACACGTACGTGGAGCTTTCAAGCCCACCTCAATGCCCGCAGCTCCTTCCTGAGCCAGGTCCTCGTGAATTGTGCCGCAGGCATTTTCACAGTCTCCGTATAAGAATCATTAGTGCTTTCAAAATCACTGTAGCTACTTAGCCTAAATGGGCTGAACCATGTTGCTGTAATATTGAAAGTGACAGATGAAAATAGGACTCTTGCTGAGTGGAGAGAAGTGTGTTGATGTAGTGCAGTCATTTTAACTTGCTGTTTAAGTATGGATTTAAAAAAAATGGGTTGATTTATGGTGATGGGAACAAAGCTCTGTCTCATTTCCTCTGCCAAAAGAAAAGGCGGAGGCTACTCTCACACCTCCCACTCCCTTGAATCCTGACATACCCACTGAAAAAAAAAAAAAACCCAAACAAAAAACAACACCCTACCACTCAAAAACACCTTCTGAAAGCTTCTAGTTAAACCTACAAATTCCAAAGCTGTAAGGCCTTTGGGACCACAGTCCACAAAGACAATGTTCTATGTCTCACTTTGGTGTAGTAGCAATTAGGGTCTTAAGAGTTTCCTAACTTTATCCCTCCCTGGCCATTTCGTCGGCAGCTGTAGGTGGAGGGCCAGCCAGCACCTAAGGCGAGAAGATGGTGGCTGCTAAAAAAGACGAAAAAGTCCCTGGAGTAGATCAACTCTAGGCTCCAACTTGTTATGACAAGTGGGAAATACGTGCTGGGGTACAAGCAGACTCTGAAGATGATCAGGCAAGGAAAAGCCAGGTTGGTCATCCTCGCCCACAACTGGCCAGCCTTGAGGAAATCTGAAACCGAGTTACTACGCCATGTCGGCCAAAACTGGTGTCCATCACTACAGTGAGAATAACATTAAATTGGGCACAGCATGTGGAAAATACGACAGAGTCTGCA